AAGTGAAGAGTCAAGTTTTGGGATGCCAGCCTGCCAGGATATGAGCTTGGGAGCAGAGGAAGGGAATTGAGTAGAGTCTTTGGAATTATCAGCTGCAGAATAATGGCAAGAAAGGAGTTAAACCGNATTTATATATATTATGAAAAGTAAACACTGTGAAAAACCAAACAACAGGAAGGAAGGTGAGACTGATCACAGATATCATAAACACAGCCCTCGGAAAAGAAAAAAATGGTGGTATGCCTGTAGGTTACTTGGGATGAATAGCTGTAAGGGAGCAATGTGATGTGTATACCCATTGCTAGGCAACAACTTGGTAAACACATTCCCGTAGAAGCAAATGCCTACAACAATAGGACATCTATTGCTAGGCAACGGATCAGTAAACATGCCCCCTTAACAGTAGAGGCTTTGTTTCAGTGTAGTCGGTGCGAAGTGGGTATAAGGAAGTATAGAACAGTATGTAGTTTACAAATGAAGAGTCAAGTTTTGGGATGCCAGCCTGCCAGGATATGAGCTTGGGAGCAGAGGAAGTGAATTGAGTAGAGTCTTTGGAATTATCAGTTGCAGAATAATGGCAAGAAAGGAGTTAAACTCTGAAAAGAAGACTTCATGTGTGATTTTAAGTTACAGTGAGATGGTTATAAATCTGTTGCCACTATATGACTAGTGAAGACTGAGAATCCTAGTGCATGTGTCATGGTGAACTGTAAAGTGTGTAACCCCAGAGATAGTGCAGTATTGCCTGTAGTCCTGAGTTGTGAATATATAAGGTGCAATAAATCCCATCACCCAATCCAAAACCCAAGTCACGTGTACAGCCCCTACACGTGACAATACGTACTACTGTACCGCTGTATATAATTGCTTTTTATCTATTTCTTAAACTGAATAAGTTCCTGAATTTTTTATAATATAATATCAGAGTCAAAAATGTATTTCAGGTGCAATTTGTAGGAGAACTTCATGAGAAAATGTTTCTGTAATACTCATTTTGTATTATGATGAGTTATTTTGAGAAATTTTATACAGATTATTTTTAACAAAAAATGTGAATGATAAAAGTAGGAATCTGTCCAATCCTGTTTTATTTATGACATGTTTTCCCTTTTTAAATTTATTATATCTTTTGTAGAAGTTTGCAGCAATAATAGCACTAGATTCTTGTACCAAAGTAGCCAGGCTTGGAACTGCCAGAATCTAGTGGATTTTTTTATGCTTAAACCCTTTGAGAACATTGTAACTTTGTTGATGTCCCCTCCACATCAGACTGTAAGTTTCCTCTGCTGTAAATTGCCCAGTCATTATCAGGAAGAATACTGCCATGCTTCTGCAGAATCGCATTCCTTTACTCTTTCCAGGCCTGCAGACATGAGGGAGGTAAACAGGCCAAACATAAGTGGGGGGTATAGGAAATCAGGAAATGGAAAGTTCATTATACAAGAACTCTTATAATCCTTCTCGCCCTGGTATTAAACAAGGGTAGTAATCTAACCAGTTTACTGGGCAGTGCATAGTAAGACAGATTATCAGACGTTCCATGTTATCCGACATTACTTTAACTTCTTTAGACAATGAACTTCAAGATTTTATGGTGTATGTATGATTTTTCATTTATAAAAATTTAGTTTTCCATTTCTTTTTGATATTTTTGTTACCAACTAAATATTATATACAAACTTGCTGTTGTTTCATAATACCTTTGTGAACCAAGTTGTGTAGATATTTTTTAGTGTGTATTTTTTTATGTTATTTGTATTATCTGACATTTTCTGTTATCTGACTGCCCTTTGTTACTGTTTATCTTTTTTTATTCTTAGTGAGGTGAGATGGAATCCACTTGGTACTGCAGCCACTGCTGGCCTGTTGTACCAGCTCAAGACGATAGATGTGGTGATTTTGGAGCAATTTGCAGGGGAAACTGAAGTACTTGGAGAGAACCTGCCCAAGTGTCACTTTGTCGATCACAAATCCCACACGATCAGACCTGGGCTCGAACCCAGGCTGCTGCAGTGGGAAGCCAGCGACTAACTGCCTGAGCTATGGCATGGCCTTTGTTTCTATTTAGGTCAGATAATTGGGGTTTTTGTATATTTAATTTATGTTCATCTGTAGTTGCGTGATGTGGAGCTTCCGAAGGACCTGCAGGACACAAACTGGTTCTCTGCTCCATCTGCATTGCGAGTTTATGGACAGTACCTGAATCTTGACAAAGATCACAATGGCATGCTTAACAAGGAGGAATTGGCTGGGTGAGGCTTATGATTTTAGTTAATATGGTCATGTAAACTGTAAAACGTAGCTTCAGTTTGATAGAGAGGTTGAAGGTAGTGTGCATGATGCATTAGGTCATGATATGAATTGATGCTTCCTTTTTATTTCTCTCAGGTGTTACTTTGCACACTCATTTCTTTCTCTTTTTCTTTGTATACTTCATTGTCTTTGATTACTTTGTTTGATAACATTTTATTCTTGTTTTTTGGGGAACAGCACATTTATAAACAATAATATATATATATTTGTATATAAAATATATTTGCCTCATAGCAGTATATTAATAATTATTTGGTTGGTTTCCAATGGCTGCATTTTGGCTCATTTAACCCAGGTAGCAGTGCAGATTTTGGGGCAGTATGTGTTAAATTTAACATAGAATGTGTACTTGTGGGAATAATGCAGATTTGTATACTCATGGAAATAATGTATAAATATGAATCACTAAATTCTGTAGTCATTATTTTTATAGCTACTGCCAACCTCACCATACATTTTAAAATATTTGAAAGAAAGTAGGCTGGAGAAATTCTTGTCTTTCTTTCTTTTGCTTGTGTTTTCTTTGGTTACTCTACCTACTTCACCATAATGATGTTTCCTGCTGATTATAGATATGGGACTGGAACTTTGACCAAAGTATTTATGGATCGTGTGTTTCAAGAGTGTCTAACTTACGATGGTGAAATGGACTACAAAACATACCTGGACTTTGTGCTTGCCATGGAGAATCGTCATGAGCCACAGTCTTTACAATACCTGTTCAGAATTCTTGACATCAATAATAAAGGCTATTTGGATACATTCTGCCTTAACTACTTCTTCAGGGTGAGCATCAGTTATGGTAACTCCATGTATAAAGTGCAGTATATACATTTATTAATTTTTTTGTTGTGTTTATTTACATGTAAAATTACATTAGTTAGATGTTCAAATGGTGGCTTGTTACAAGTTGATTGCTGCCATAAAGGTATAGACTGACATCTGGATTTCACGTATTTATACCAGGAAGAAGTAATCTAATGCTCGGCTGCGCCATAGCTCAAGCGGTTAGTCGCTGGCTTCCCACTGTGGCATCCTGGGTTCAATCCCGGGTCTGGTCAAGTGGGATTTGTGGTGGACAAAGTGGTGCTGGGGCGGGTTTTTCCGAGTACTTCGGTTTACCCTGCCAATCTTCATTCCACCAAATTCTCCATCATCATAATCACCCGGGGCAGGCTATAATAGGCCAATCAGTGGCCGCTGTGCTGATTGGACCCAGTTGGAGTCCACCCCCTACTAAGTGAATTAATCTAATGCTCTGGAACATGTGGGTGGTCTATTTGTCATTTTGCATCTTAATATTTACTTACAGTTTNGCAGCTGGACGAAACATACACGTCGAACCCCCCCAGACGATTTAAATCCCTGACGAAACATACACGACGAACCACGGCAACGGGTTAATTAACAATGATGTTAGTAGTGCAGACTGTACATTATCAAATGACAGGATGGTTAAAGAATGATGACTTGGAAAGAATGTGGAAGGAAACTGTCATGGGCTATTTCAAGGTGCATGGTTTTCCTTTGTAACACTGCTGTGCCATAATACATCCTTCAATAGTTCCCACAAAGCAGCCTTGGCCAGTTTGCATTCCAAACTGAAGATTGTGTACTGTCATGGCATTTACCTGAAGGAGATTAGGAAACCCATGAAAATCTCAGGATAGTTAGTTTCCTGGCCAAGATTTGAACCAAGCATCTAATGAATACAGGTTAGAAGCCAGCTTACTTGGTGTATCCATGATAGAAGTTTGTATTATCCTAGAAACTATATCTATGAAGGTGTCTTCATCAGTTTGTATGCTGTTCTACATTATTCTGTTTACTGCTTCTCTCGCTGTTGTGTGGTCTTGTCTGTAGCGTAGTCTTGTGAGATGGACTTTGGCATATTGCATAATGTTTTAGGGTGGGCGTGCTTGGAGCTTAATAGTTTTGTAACATTAAATGCCATTATAATTTCTTCAGGCAATTCAAGAACAAATGACTTTTCATGGGCAAGAACCAGTTCCATTTGAAGATGTCAAGGATGAAATATTTGACATGGTTAGGCCAGCAGATCCGTACAGAATTATGCTACAGGACTTACTTAATTGGTGGGTACAGGATTTATTTCCTCTTTCTCCTCCTCCCCATTCCTCCAACTCTTTTGTAGCTTTAAGCACTGTGCTCTATTCTATCTCAGAAATAATCTGAACTACAAATGTGGACACAAGGAAGGATTTTTTGGAAGTGGCCTATTGTAAGGCATATAGTGTTACACAGTAATGTAGAAAAACATAGTCCCAAGTGGAAGAGTCTAGTATCATGGGTAATATGCCACCCGTTATAAACACTGACATGCATTTCTTAAAGCAAATAAATTGTTTAGAAGAACTCACCATCATAATAGATGCTCAAAATATCTTACTTTTGCTGTTAAATGAACTCCATATCTCTTGAAAATATTGTTTGACAGTAGTTCGAGTTCAGTGGTAGATGTAATTGTTTCACAAATATTGTGCTTTTCATTCAGTGTGTGGGGATTATTTGAATATACTTTCTTTTTAGATCTTTGCACAGATAATAATCAGGGATGTTGTCTGGAGACATTGCAGACCACGATCTTACACCACTGTCCTCAGACACTTCATTTAGAATACTGATGTGTTTAGTAATAACTATCAGTGTGCTGTAGCACCATCTTGCATAAAATACCCATGTCTTTTCTTCCATAGTGATCTCAAAGAAGGGCCTAAGAATATCTCTGACATACTGCTGTGAATTATGATATAAGGTAACCCCATATAATTCCAATGAGAAAAATCAGGATTTTTTTTTGATAAAGTTGAACATGTTATTTAATTTTGAGGTTTGTAAGCAATAAGAAGTAAGAACTACACTATTAAGAAACAGTACATTCAAAATTAATTATAATTCAAGGTATTTTCACAGATATCATTAGAATTAGCAATTAGAACTCCTCATAATTGCCATTGTCATATTCATTCTTAAGGACCTTAAAATATGGCAACCCCGCTTCTTTAAGCAGTATTAAAAAAAGTGAATTCAGGCTAATATGGTAATATCCAGAATTACTCGGTTTTAGGACTTTGTCCATCGTTTGGTATTCTAAAAACTAGAAAACAAAACGTTTCGGAAACTTGATCTGTTTCCGTCCAGTTTCCAAAACGTGCTTTCTAGCTGTTAGAATACTGGACGATGGGCAAAGTCTGATAACCCAGTAATTCTGAGTGATATACACCACTGTTAGAACCTTTAGAATCTAATATGGTAATAGTCTGTTAAAAAAATATGGGCCTTACTATTCATGTAGCAATAAATGGCACACCATGTGCAATCTTCTGATTGTGAAAGGATACTTCAGAAGTCTCTCTTGGAATAATACTGTTCCAATACCAATTGTTCTGAGTATTAATATACCCTCTTAGATGTTAGAAAGCTTCATCAGTATAAAGTGTGGTTAGTTATTGGAGAGTGTGGGTTTCCCCATGCACTTAGACCTGTCTTGGTCCATTGTGCTTCCCTCTATGATATTCTACCAGTCTCGATATCCTACCGGTACTGGTGCTTACCATCAGTCCCACCCAGCCAGCGAGATCGGCCTCTACTAGCTGAGTGGTATCTATAATGCTTCCCCCATCTACCAGAGGTATTAGAAACTACTGTTGGGCGGGAAACATCCGTAATTTTGCTCAGTGGCCTCCTTTGGAGACATGAGATTCTTTTACATGCCGTAAAGCTACGACACAGGACCCACGGCTTAAAGTCCCTCCCGGAGGACTTGTTCCCTGAATTTTTTCGCCCTTAAAAATTCGATTACCTCCGCCAGGTATTTGAACCTGCGTACTATGAGTCATGAGGTGGGAACGTTACCTCTAGACTACGGAGGCCGCTAGTATAAAGTGTAAGTACTGCCCATAAAAGCCATCTACAAAAATGTATTCTTTTATGATTGATTTCTTGAGGTACTTGTGCCTGTCTAATATTGTATGGCCTTGGACATAACTTTTTAGTTGCTCTCCACACTTGTCATTGACACCTGTGCTTGTTGTGCTGTGTTGGGAGTTTGTGAGGCAACTGTTCTAATTTGGCTCCAGTTTAGTTACGTTTCTCCTTGTTAACACAGGATTCTGTCTAGTGTATTTCTTATGTTAGAATGACCCAGATGGACACACTTTGTTCACTAATTTGAAAATTGTTGAAGAAGGTGGAACCTAGAACATCAGGATACTTAATTGCAAAACCTTTCTTTACACAATTTATGTGATTTATTTTTCACATAAGTATCACATAGAAAAATGCACTGCTCAAGTGTCTGTTTCATCACCTCAATTCTGTGCTGTAAACGAAAGCACAAAACAGATTTATAAAGGGTCTTACGTGAACAGAAACACAATTTTATCATGGTTGAGCGAACTTGATTTGGATAGTCTTTTAATGTTCATGAGGTTTCTTGTTGATAACAATGGTCTGTGAGGCAAAAGCGGAGCTCATATATATTTTAGGCAATGTATATGCAAATAAATGGCTCCTTTCTTGATCTTTCAAAACATGGGAAACCAAAACTTTTCTTCTGCCAATGTACAGATAAGGAGTAATGGGTAAAAGCAGTAGGTGAAAGCCCAAAACTCTGAACCTTCTAGAGGTTTCTGTGGCAACAGTGACATGTTGATGAAGCCTGTTTGATTTATGCAGTCTAGCAGACTAAGCTTGACATCACTTGTCAGCAGTATTAGGCTGTAATGTTTTCTTGAGGAGGGTAATTGGATATCTCTTTGCTTTTTGTCATAATGTTTGCCAGTCTCTAGCATGCTGTGACCATATCGCTTGCCTTATTGCTATACTAGCCACCTTACACTGGAAAGAAGCTTGTAATTTATCATACCGTTAACCGAAAATTATAGGAATAAATTAAATTTGTCAGGATCTTCTTACTAATGACTAAGCTTGTTCTATAAGTTATGTTATTTCCAACTCAGTGCTCTGGCCCATATCTTAGTCACTCAGGGCCAAGCCACTAGTAAAAGCAACTGTTCTTTGTGAGAACACTACCCATGACCATCAGCAGGTGCTCACACCCTTATTTTGTGAGTTTACAATCCTGCTCTAAATTATACCATATTCTAATATAAGACAAGTGCCCCTGTGTCACACTTCTGTCTCATTAAGGCACACAGCTTTAACTTTTCTTGCACTGTAATACACATTCTGCAGGGAACTTTACTTTTCACATATTAATTTGTTTCAGTGGTCAAGGAGATACAATGATAAGCATCCTTATAGATCTGAATGGTTTCTGGACCTATGAAAACAGAGAATCAATGGCAGCTGACACAAATGATGGACCAGCAGAAGTGTGAAATCCATGTTATTACATAGGTACCTCTTCATTAAAATAAGCATTCATATGACAAGTGAGAACTTGAGAGCAAATCTGTTGTTAAGAACAAGGTAATTCACAGAAATCTCACTACATAGCAGGATTACTCCCGGGCTTCCTTGAAGCTCATCCTTACTACTAACTAGATAGGCTCCTGTGTATTTATTCTGGTGAGGTTAAGGTTGGATAGGTTATAAATGACAAAATTACATAAATCAGAAGTTAAGATTTAGTTCTTTTGTTCTTATAATGCTAGATGAAAATATGTAAAGGGAGGAAGACAAAGACAAGAAAAAGGTAAAGTTGTCCCTGTATTTAATTAACAAGCACTATGCCATGAAGACATGTGGGGGAGTGGAAGTATATCCTGGCCTTGGTACTAGATGGAGGTTAACCCTTTTACTGCTAGTATGATAAGTAACTCTCAGTACCCTCTGTGCTGAATTATTTTTGAATATATCTTTTATAAATAATTTAAGTGCAAAGTATGAAAATGTGTGATAAAATGTAACTAATCTTACCTCAGACAGGGAACAGGCAGCAGAAGTTGCAAAAATGTTGAATTATTCAGTATTTTTCACAGGGGAAAAAGTCCATTTAAATCAGGGTTGTCAAAGATGGCCAAGAAAAGTACATAAATTCACTATCCTAGAATCGCTGTATTTATATCGCAGTCTTATCACTATGTTACATGTTCACCAAAGTCCACAACTTTATTGAAAACTATTACAGATTTAAAACCAAAGTCAGGGCTGTCCAAAGTAATGTATTATGCAAATAAAAACTGTAAATACTGTCAGTAGTAGTTTCATTACAATATTTACACATTCCACTATGAACCTTAAAAAAATTTGTAATGTATGATACTTTTCAAAGCAGGGGTGTACACAGAGGCCCACATTGCATTTGGCGCACATACCGGCTCTCACATCTTCTCTCTCCAGTTGTGGTGTTTGAACACATGACAGTGCCTGTTTGGATTACTTTTCCTTTGGTGTGTGTGGTACAGGAAATGGAAAATGTCATCCTGTAAGTCTAAGTTGTTGGTCACCATCTGAAGGACGTCCTCTTTTGTTTGCCTGGGTATATGGTAGTTTTGGATGATCTGTCTGACGAGTTGAAGCTGGAAATCTGCTAGAGATATGCTCTTGCCAGTTTTTACATTGAAAAGTGCATGTGAATTCAAGATGGTGATGCCCAAGAGGCGCAGAAAAATTTTTCTATACCATTTCAGTGATTTTCTTACACATTTGATAGAGGTGATGATCATGTCTGTCCTGTCAACTGCTCCCATGTTCTTGTTATAGTCAGTGACACAGTGTGGTTTCTCTATTTGTTGTTTTGTGTGTCTATCCTGTTTCCCTGTCTGTCTCATTGTATCTGAGTGTAGTGTAGTCAGCATGCAAAATTCCCTGCGGTCCATCCACCTGACAGCCATCATCGTATCGGTTGACCTTGAATCTGTTTGTCCTCTATCTAATTTTGTTTCTGAAAATTTACACATTCCTTTTCTGTTTTTCTTGACAGTGCCACACGTGTTTGTCTTGTTGGTGTGGAGATGGTCATACAATTGTGGACTCGAATACCAGTTACCTATACACAATGTATGACCTTTCTGTAAATATTTCTCTTATAAGTGTCATTACAACAGCACCTGATACTCCAAATTTGCAAGCAGGTACTATTTCTATAATAGCCGCTGTGTATACAATAAAATCTAATACATATCCTTTATTCTGAATCTGTGTCTTTTTGATGGAATGTACTGTACGAATGAAAGTTGACCCTTGAAGAGTGTCAGACTTTCAACAGTGCAGAGATTTTGAAATGGAATAAAAACTTGACTGAATTTTGTTCTGAGATGGTCGATGATGGGTTCTATTTTGTACAGACGATCACCTTCAGGCTGATTCTTCTTATCACTGAAATGTGACAATCTCAGTAATAATAAATATCTGTCCCTAGACATGAAATCAGAAAATTGCAGGGTGGCAAATAAGGGATCAGTAGACCCAATAGTCTAATATTGTTAATTTTTTCATCCTAACCATAAGCATTGTAACAGCGAGAAAAACATGTAATTCTTCTGTCATATTTCTCCATTTTTGTAGCCTTGAACCTGCAGATGGTGGAATTTTGTTTGTCACAAACTGGTAATATTTGTTAGTTTCCGATGCTATTTCCTGCATAATTTCTTGAGAGAAAAAAACACTGAAAAATGTTCAAAGCAGTTGATTCATCTTGAATTTCGTTTGTAGAAATTCCTGAAGCACTGTCATTAAATACATGACTTATTGGATTGGATGCACCACTATGCTGCCACTGAAACAATGGTGGGTTGGGGTGATTTCTTTTTCTCAAAGGTTGTGGAGCTGCTTGATCAATTACTGCACTACCACTCTCTTCATTATCACGAGGATGATATTCATTGTCAAAATCACCAATTTCTGAATATTCATCCTCTGATTCTACAGTATTTACGGTGACCAAAAGTTCTTCATCGGACAGAAAGCACTATGCACTATATGAAGTCATTTTTACTAGCCCTGTGAAATACCCATGTTACATGACCACAGAGCATGTGCCTCTCTGTGCAGATGCAACCTTGTACATTCCTTAAGCTAGAGGGCAGAAGAATGCAGCCATTGAAATGAATGATGCTTCATTATGTTCTCAATAGATGACTATATGCACCCACCAAGTTTGAATGAGATCGGTATAAAGAAACCCGAGATTTGAAACTCTAAAGTCGCAATGCGGGTTTTGTCGATCGCAGCAAGAACGCCATGTTTTTCAGAGATCAACATATTTCGACCCCAGCAGTGTAAGGGTTAATGGACATCTCCACACCCCAGGGAAAAATCCATGGTATCCCTTGGATACCAACAGGTAACAGGCCAGAGCAAGTATAGAGTATAGCGTCGGGGGGAGAAAGGCATTGACATTGGTCATCATAAGGTGTGTAGAATTGTTGGTGAAAATTTGTTGTGCAGCGCTTTCTGTTCTCTTCATGAATTTTTCAACTAATGTTGGATTGATGACTAGCTTGTCAATTGTCTTTTGGTTTGCAATTTTTATTATTGTGTTTACGTGTTTTATATTACTGACATTTTTCTTTTGGTCTTCTGTATTTTTATTATTATGTTCCTTATAACGGTTGCTATATTATACTGATAAATCACTATGTAAATTTATGTGACTTTGATGTGTGATGTATTCATTATTATTTCTTGACATGTCAAATTGTATTCACTTCAGTTATGGACGAAAATAAAGTTGAAAGTTAAAGCATTCCCTGAAACTGAGACTCCCATATTACACACCTGTCACAACTGCACAGTATCTTTTTAGCTCTTGTAATGACTGGCTTCAATGGGCAAATACAGTTTTTTTTAAATTTATTTTATATTTCCCACCAGAGGACCTTTTTCTTTCAGATTATGACTATCATGTGACAGAAAATATCTTAGTGTCTCTGTGGGTGTGGTGTCCTCACTAATGGCAAAATGTTGATTAATTTCCATCAGACGTACCAAGAAATGCAAGTGTCTATATCTCACTAATCGCCAAAGGGTTGAAACAGGAACACACACAACAGAGCACCACAGACAAACCATTTAACTCAGACTGACGCCAGCTCACTAACAGTCGTGGGAGACCCCCAGCTAACACCACCTAGCAGCACAACTCGTAACTACAAAGCATGCGCGTGCAACAGGTCATTTCCGGTTATTTTTGGGTCCCCCCTCATATAATATCATAATTCAAATTTTAAAAAATTCTGGTGGATATTAGTGATTCAAGGCAAATGACAGTAGAAGACCATTCAGCATCTTAAAGAACTAGGATAAGTAATAAAAATCAACTCGTTATGTTCCATCATGATACATGGGCTATTAAAATATTTGAGGTGTGAGGTTCTCATGGCAATGAATACTAAGACTGGTCTCCTAAAATATGATACCATGTAGTTTGGTAGATAAGTACTATTCTGGAGGAACCTGCTGCCTTCATCTTAAGAGACAGAGGGGAGTCAGCAGATATTCAGAAAGTTTGGCACATATCAAACTATGTGGTATTATACACCAGCAGACCCTAATATTCATTAAAATTTTCTTTAAATATTCATTAATTCTGAGGAGCACATTTTTTAATTCCAGGATATTTTAGTTACTATATATCCATATTTCTAAATCAGACTGTATCTGCCACTAAAACTGACATGAAATATGGAAAGACTATCATACTCTGAATCTAGGTTTGAAATAAGAGAAGAATTGATAATAGTTTTTGTGCTGTAATAGTAATATTCAATATTAATTTCATGTTATGTTACTGAAGGTCTTGATGCCAAACCAAGGACTTGCAATATAACACAGTGTTTAAGACTTACATATCTTACAATGAAATTAACTTCTGCACATATACTTCCATTCCAATATTTATTTCAGAATGATGTACAATGAAAGACATCTTTTACTGAACAAGAAGTTCAAAGCAGCTCAGCAAATTTTATGCCCTACTTTATCAGCTGTAAAATATAATTAATCAATCAAGAAAGCATGAACTGAATATTATATCTTCAAAACAATGTGGAAGAAGAGTCATCTAAGAATAACTCAATTTTCCCAACTGAATACAAACTGGCCCTATTAATAGCATTGAATGTAAATATTTGCATTTATATTGCTAATGAAAGGAAAGAGTCACTTCTATGAAGTCTACACATTCTTCTTCTCGTGTTGTTTTTGTGAAAGCTTTTACTGTGTTACCTACAGTATGTACACTATATAATTATGTAGAAGGTTCAAAAGTATAATGAGTTTCTCCTTTGTATGGATATTGTTTCGGTAACACTGGTCGAAACATTCTCTTATCGTCCATCCAATAATATAGTGCAGTAAGACCACCCACAACTCCAACGAATGAGAGAACTTGCTGAGCAAGTGAGAATCTAGGTTTTGAGCTTACATCATAGCGATCCTCCCCATACATATCCACATGAACATGCACTGGTTCTCCAAAATTTCGCTTGTGTTCTGGAAAATCCCATGGATAATACGGGTCCCGCGATTCGACGGAAGTATCTGGTAGTTTGGGGTAATCTCCATGACCCATGCCATCATCAGGATAAGGCTCATATTCTTCAGGAGATAAGTTATACTTCTTCGCGGCTGCAACTCTCTCTTCAGGTGTCTTTGGATAGGGGCCCGGTTTCCAATCCTTGTTCCAGTGAGTCCTGATAATCTGATGAACCACAGCTCGTCTATAATTTGTAAAATGCGAACTATTCATTACCTTGACGATGGACGCCATATTTCTGGTTAGAGGAACCAATAAGAGCTACAGCGTTTTACTCCTACAATTAATGGCCCTCCTGATTTACAAGTTGATTAGGTACTGTTTGATTCCATTCATCTATATGCACACTTTTCGCATAGAAACAAAGTCCAATATTTATGAAATTCCAGAACAATAACAAACTCCTTCACAACTCCTTTGCCTGATTGGAACCAATACCTCCAACCATAGTTGCGAAACGAATTTACCACAGTTATTTCAGCATGGTCATTGATTAATACAAGTATTGATCTCACTAAACTATTAAATTAATGAAAAGTTAAAAATTCTATAGTGCGCATATAAGTGTTATCTTACTAATCGTTTTACTGAATGAATTTAATCAAATGAAACGAAGGAAGGTTGTAGATATTGGTGAACCTGTTAAGAGCGAATTAACAATGGAAGCTGCCTGTCCTAAAAAGTTGATTAAATCGAAATCGGGTCTCAGAATCGTAGCTACAAATGATGAATACAAAAGTCCTTTTTTCCTCTGTGAACCACAATGGATTCCAGATAGCGAGGTAAGTGTAAAGTTGGATTGTTATTCTGTGTTGTGGTGTAAAGTTCAGTATACAAGGAGTATTCTAACCTTACATTCCTAATGTTTTGGATGTTTTATCTTTTAGAGCACAAACTGCACAGGGTGCAAGGCCAAATTTGACTTCATAACAAGAAGGGTAAGAATTAGCAGCGTTAGTTCTTAAACCTATTTTGGTATTGTACGCACACGAAATCTGAGCAGTGAAGACCCTAACTGAGAGAATGTGGTAACGATCTACCCATACAGCATAGTTTGTGCGACTACTCGTGAGAATATTATTGCAATTATTGTGTTTCTGGATGTTATCCATCGTCCCTTTTTTTATTTAAAACAAGGTTTCGGAGATGGAACAGGATGATTGATAATGTCGAGAAACAATGCACCATTGTCACAACCTTTTCAAATAGTATTTGTCTGTCTCTCAATATGGTGTAACTGACATACACTTGAATTCGTGTTTAAATTATGTGTATGACACACCGGCTCTAATTTTTTGTCCTTAGCTTCTGTGAGAAGTGAAATGAGTACAGAATGTTTCAGAGACATTGTTTACCAATAGTGTATCTACATTTTAAGTTTTTTGTTAAGTTTTATTCTGTATTGTAGTCTAATGACTTAGGGAGACAACTTCTAATAGGCTTTAGAGACTTCTGCTAGGTCAGTTATGTGTGCCCCCACTGTTGCTATGGCTGTGTAAGATGCTTGACGTCAACTAAAGCCAAAATCCTCCTGATTGAATCCATCTTTAATTCCCATCAGCACTACTCATGCAGAGATAAAGGTCATAGGTCTATGCCCATCTAAGAGGGGCACAGATATAATGCCATCTCTGTCTGGGCTTCTGGAAATGGAATGTCCGAGATGCCCTCTGCCATTCATTGACAGGGACATCAGATCCTCCACCACTGGTCTCTTCTTGGGGAACAGGTTGTTCACTTGCCATCAAGAGACTCCATTCAATTTTTCCCTTATAGGTCCATCATGTAAGCCCTGGAGAGCTGGTGGCTTCTTACCCTCAGCAGTAAGTGCCAAAACCTTAGCTTTTCTGTGCAAGAGGAAGAGCTCCTGGATTGCTGATGGTGGGAAGCTTATTGCTGCCTACCATCATTCACTGACAGGGACAGCTGACCCCAACTGGACTCATAACTGAGTTCCAGATGAGGCCACAGTTCCGTAGAGAAGGACCTCCACTACTGGTACTTCTTCACTAGTCTGTCCAGTTCTTAATTATCAGGTTATTCATGCATATCAAGAGATCTTCCAGCGTTGCCCTCTGTGGACCATCACTAGATCCTTTGAAACATCTGTCTATTCACCAAAGCAAGGGAGCATAAGACCCAACATCCAAGCTGAAAACGAGGGACGAAAACTCCCCCCCAAAGAGTAATGGTGGCAGGGACCCTCTGACTATCCTCCATCCCTATGCTAGGGGCAGTAGAACCCCCACCAAGTCCCAACTGGACCCATAATCAATCACCAGCTGAGGCCCAGCATCCAAGACTGGATCGCCACCCTCCTGGTCATGTCATCTGCTGGACTATCCAGTTCTTTCACATTATTCACTGGAATCAAGAGACCTCTTACAGTCTTGACCTTAGTGAGCCCTCCTTAGAACCTTGAGGGATTTGACTGCCTCTCTGTCACTGCAGAATGCAGAAGACCAAGCAGGTAGATGGATCCCCCCACCCCAGAGTGCTGAAGGCAGGAACTATCCAGTGACTGTGACTTGAGCACCAGCTGAGGCCGCAGCCCCTAAAACCAGGCACTTCTCCCAATCTGCCCCATACGCTACCCTTTCTTAGTTCACCTTCATGGTTAGATTGCGTATTCACATCAAGTGCACTCTTTAAGTCTCGCCTCCATTGGATTCCTCACCATAGCTCTGAGGAGATATATGTTAGCTGTTCATCCCAGTAGAAGAACAGAACACAGAGAGATACTTTCAGCCTTTCCTTCAATGGGCTACTCACCAGAGTCCCATAGATATCTGACTGTTCCCAAAGCAGCAGAAGGCCCAGTAACTTAGCCCTCTTATCTAGGAAGACCTCACCGTAGCAACAGGAGACCATACATCTTGGCTCTCCAGTGAAGGGGGAAGTTTTCTTTCTCCATGATACTGGTGATGGGAAAGCCCTAGCCAACATTTGTTGGCCCCCACTGCTGTTCTAGTTGAACCTGCAGCTGAGCCCCAGCCTAGGCCACAGTTCCTTAAAAGGAGCCTTCCCTGTTCTTGGCCACTACGCTAGCCAGTCCAATTCTGGTTGCTTGCCCCAAAGACAGAAAGCTTCACTCTCTGTTGACCCTCTTTATAGCCCCTGAGAAATTCTGGATGCTGTATTAAAATCTCTCACTTCACCACAGAGCCCTGCATAAGGGGGGAGGGAGGCTGGCTTATGATGGGATGTCATCCTCAGTGCTGTGTAGTCCTTGGAACGGTAGTTCACAGCTTACATTAGGACATCACCCCTGGTCAACCAGGTCAGCCTGTCTGCTTCATGGGACTGCCGTGAGGAGGGAGATGGGGTTACTTGGTCCTGAGTGTTGTTCTGAGACTTTGATATCTTTGATTCTTTGTCGAACATGCCTCCTGTGTAGCTAACCAGAAAGAATAAGAAACTCCATAATCAAACAAGAGAGGTACAGTAAAACTTGGTTATAGCAACATCGGTTTCTGCGACACCTTGTCTATTGCGTCAAATATTCAATGGTACGAACTAATTCCTCATAAAGCAACTGTTTTTATACCTTGNGCGGCAGGTTGTTAACTGCATTCCTTTCCTAGAATCTCGTCTAACAGGACCTCACATTGTCTATTTACCCTATAGTGTTCCTGCCTAAACCCAGAGAAGTGCAGTAGCGAAAACATGGCAATGAAAAGGAAAGTTTTAAGCATTGAAGAGAAAGTTAAAGTGATTCGTGAAATATTGTGTGTATTGTCAGTGAAAAGCGCTGTAATATGTCTTTGATATGACACATTTGGGCAATTCCACGTTAATGTTACGTTAGTCTGTACTTAACTACGTATTTCACTAAAAAATGCAACATTTTAACTCGGTTGTTGGTAGATTTTTACGTGACTAACATAAGGCTACTGTGGAAGTGCCCATTTCGGTTACAACGACATTCGTTTATAATGCAACCGTCCCCTCTGTGTAACCTCAAGCCACACCGGTTGGGCGCCACTTCTTATAACCGTCCCCCTCTTTGTTTTTCTCAAGCCACACCGGTTGTGCGCCACTTCTTACAACCGCACACGGCTTGAACACTTCTCGTGACCGTTGCCTATCTATCTTTATGTTTATTTATTTGTTTATTTATTTATTTATTTGTTTGCCCGCTTCGGTAGAACAGTTGACTCTTCTCAGGGTTGTGCCACGGTTATAACTGGGGCGACAAGGAGACTGCACATTTAAAACTAGTCCACTGATACTAATAAAATACTCTATTTCTTCTTAATCACAATATTGTTTATTTCAGAATCAAACTATAACTTTACTGGCAAGTGCGGAGTAATGTGCCAAAGATTAATCGAACCAAATAAATACTGTTAAATTTATATAAACTTGGAGAGAGCAGGTAAATTACGTCTGCCTCTGGTGAATTCTAAATGCCAAGTCCGATACGTCTGTCTCTGATGAATTCTGAACGCCAAGTGCTTCTGCCCCCTGTATTCTCCGGGATCGTCACTTCATCACTGTATAGGATTTGAACCGACGGCATTTCACCCAGACAAGAATAGTCTATACCATCAGTACAAGACAATCACATTACTAACTTTTAGAATGAAGAGATCCAAAGATACCGAACCCGGGACCCTATTAGCAAAACAACCTTTACATCTTGGGCAGACAACAGACATGTCCTTTCATAATTGCTTCGACCCTCTTTGCGGTCACCCAAGATGCAGGTAACAAACCAGGCAGTTATTTCTCTCTAAATGCGAAAAGCATGTCAACTTCTTAATGGATGGGCCTCCCTTATAAATCAATCACTCTATTGAAATGGCTGAAGAACATGCGTCCATTAAAGAGTATTAAAAGGTTTGGACGGTTGCAATAATGACACTATTTTTAGGTCCCTTTGATGACGTTATAACCAAGTTCTACTGTAATTTGTGATGATAAGTGTATGGAAAATGAACCAATTAGGAGACATTTGCAGTGGCTGTTCAGCAGGCTCATGAAAGAGCATCTGAGTGCAAGTTTCTATGCATTCTACTGAGAAAATTAAATATGCCAAAAAAGACACCGATCCTGCAGAAAGTGGCTCCTGTCAATATAAGGTATACATGGTATATGTATGTGATCAGTGTACTGTAAGCTGTTCCCCTAAACTTGGTATATGATGATATATCTCGTGAAAGAGGAACAGATCCTTTACAGGAAGTTGGTTACATGTGCTGATGCGACTAAGAACATAAACTGAAGTTTTGTATCTTATCTTCTAGGATTTCCATAGCATTATCTCAGAAGGTAAGTGGTTTTGTTTTTATGGTAAATTATACTGAATCACATAATTTAAACAAGAATTCTATTTATAGGACTTGAGGTTTTTGACAGTGATGGTTGTGAAGAGCACAATGTTCTGGGATATAATATCATGTAGTCTGTCAAAAGTCAGCTGATGTTTTGGAGGAGTATATCACCTCCATCTTTAGTGCTGAATAAGCCGAGCAAGATACCAGTGTGAAAAGCTTTGCTTGCCACCTGCTTTCATGCTGGTATCTTGCTTGACGTTTTTGACCCTGAAAATGGAGAGGATATACTCTTCCAAAACATCATTTGTCTTCTAAAAGATTACATGGCATTATATCCCAGGAGATGGTACTCTTCAAGAATTCTGTTTGCACCACCGTAACTATGTGTAACTGAAAGTACTGTTATGTCAGGTTCTAAGAGCATGATTAATATGAATATATACCTGTAACATTTTATTGTGCATTTTTGCAGCATCATTGTCGCCGTTGTGGACAGATATACTGTGGGTCATGTTGTGATAGTAAAATGGGGCTTCCTCGAATGTGCTTTGTAGATCCTGTTCGTGTTTGCAACAGATGTGCACTGGTTACCAACAAGGAAAGTAATTTCTTTGATCGGCAGCTGAAAACACTTACCAGTGGTAAATAAAACTCTCTGTTTTTATATTCTTTCTTTTGTAATAGTTACATATTCAGTGTGATTGATTTATTTGTAGGATGATATCTTGACACTGTTTATATACCATTGTCAAATCTTTGTCCTGTCCAGTGCCAAGTTAACACTTCAGTAGTACTGAATGTTTTGTGGTCTGCACTCCATCTTCATGTTCAGGAGGACCACAGTTTAGATTTTGGTTGGGCAACTGATTATTTTTACTGAGGTTCTTTGTTGTTTTCCTTGGTTCCTGCAGTCATTTGTCAGGATAGCAACTTTGAATTTTCTGCACCTTCTTCCACCAAAATACTTTTCATCTCATTCATAATCCTCAGACATTTCTCTTTCAACATTATATAATCTCTGCTGATGATGCACTGGTGTTAAACTAAATAAAATATAAATAAATAAAATAAGTAAAGCGATAAAAATAAATAAAAAAGTTTAGTGGCAATTTTTTGTTGCAGATGAGGGATCACATAAAATGTATTTTTTATTTTCTTTTGTAGGTGCTACTTTCCTCCTGGATCAGGGTTTCTCAACTTGTCCAGATTCTGTCAACTTTCTTGTCTGCAGGCTGTCTCAAGATCACAGGTATAAAGTGGTCTGATTTCATACACATTATGAACTTTCTCACCGAGAAATTCAAGTACAAGTACTGCAATATGTTCTCAATTTCTTATTTTGCAGCAGTCTAACCTAATTAAGATTGTATATACATATAAATAGTTGTTTGTTAAAATGTCTGTAAATGAAAGCTATAGCAAAGTTAGTATGTGTGGGCATTTGCCTCATGCATTTTGTATTCAAAATGAGTTGAAGCAGTGGACTGCTTTATTTTTTAATTGTGCTGTAAAATAAGACATTAGGAAGGTCCAAAGGAAAAGGGACGAAAATATTTGATGGGAACAGCCGCTGTTCTGTGCTGAGGATGTCAGTTCATTAAACCAAACGGATAACCACCATGAATACAGAAATGCTGTCAGATGTCATTATATAAGGAGTTTGTCCTGCAGTTCTTTAATTATTTCATATGATATAAAAATAAATGGGTGCTTCCTCTATAAAACTAATGAAATTTGATGTGAGAAATTTCGCACATCTTCCAGTGTTCTTGGTTTCTTTGCAGATATCTTGTGTTTGAAGGCAGGACAGCTGATTCTATGAATACAGTGGAATTACGTCAGTTGAAGACCATTGGTGTTGCACGGGATCCTGATGCTGGTACATAGCAATATTTTGGTCTGGATATAATGTAGATTTAAGCCTAGGCCCTATGACTTATCTGATTATCAGTTTTCAGATACTGATTTATTGATTTAATGGCCAGTTTCAGGTTCAGAGAAAGCTTATTTGTTAGGAGTTGTACCTAATAATTCCTCTTTTCATTTCCTCCTATTATGAGTTTATGACAGTAGACATAGCATTTTTCATACAGCATTACAAATATGTCACGTGGCTGATAATGAACCTAGTAGCTGTCTCTCTTTATGTGCAGTAGCTGTGGCATTTTAGTGCTCTATGAACACGATTGTGTAGAAACTGGTCACGTAGGTTATTACACTTACAATTAAAACACAAAATTTTAAATGCTGACACGAATGTACAACTGCAGTAATGTGTGCTTACATAAGGCAAAAGTGACTTTGTAGTACATGTACATGTTTTGCCTATTTGAGAAAATAATTTCTTCTATATCTTGTACCACTCTTTTTCTTTTCTTCCTCTGTCTCTTTTCTAACTTTGTCTCATATTGCTTTCTAGTTCCTTTTATTTTTCCATCCTATCATCTTTGCCATCCCAATCTTTCTCCCCCTCTTTTATGTTAAAACAATTGTAAAGGCTTTTATAATCATGGGCATGCGGTAGCGTAGTTGTTGAGGGGCTATGCTACAAGCCGGAAGGTCGCGGTTCAAGTCCCGATGAGGTCATTGGATTTTTTCAGTTGACCTAATCCTTCCAGCCGCACTAGGCCCTGGGGTTCACTCAGCCTCTAACAAAAATGAGTACCAGGAATTAATGAAATAATTTTCCTGGGGAGTAAAGCGCGGCTGGCACGTAAGGCTGACAACCTTACCACCATCTTTGTGCCAATTGACTAGATAATGTTAGACCCTCAATGTCTCACAAACCTGTGGCCCTTGACGGACTGTTACAGGGATAGCTTGGCACATAAGGCTGACAACCTTACCACCATCTTTGAGTCCATTGTCTAGATAATGTGGAACCCTCAACGTCTCACAACCCTATTGGCCTTCACGGCCTGGTACAGGGATGGCTTTACTTTTTTTCCTTAGAAGATGTGAAACTATATACTTGTGTTATTGACTACCAAGTTGATGTTTTTGACATGCAGACATACAACAGAATGGCTTTTATGCATGAGATACTCTACGAGTATACAAGGTTTCTCCTGCTCCTGCTTCCAGTTGTTATTTATTCCTTTTTTCAATCATGCTGTGTGTTCGTGTTTTATTTTCCTGAAAGTGATCAGGAGTTGTATTATGAATTACATCTGTTACTTCATGTTGTTTATTAATGTTTATTATTATTATGCTCATGTTTTAGCTGACAGTGATGGGGAACTGGAAGGTTAGTCATAATGTTACAGCACTGAAGCCAATGTAATTTCAGTTTTTCTGCTTTGTGATAATGTTAATGAGCCAAGATAAATGGTTAGACTGGACAACCAGCATTGACTTTCCAGAGGGGCTGTTTTTTTGTTTATCTCGTAACCACTACATCCTTAATGGCCCTGGGGCCCACCCAGCCTCCTATTAATTGGGTTTATAGGACGTTTCTGCGGGATTTAAAGCAGACCAATACCCTTCTATTGTTTGCCTTATTTTGGATTTAGTTCTTCATCCTTTTAGTTCCTGTTTTTCTGTTAATATTGGCTTTGTTGCTTGTTAGAGAATAGTTTTATTACTCAAGGATTGTCCCTGAGTAGTTTTATGCCTAGGCAGTTTGGTGAAAATGTTTAATTTTTTGTGTGTTTTAATTTGGTTTTAAATTATTCCATCTCTTGGGGGGGGGAGTCTTGTATTCTCATGTTTCAGGTTGAGAATTTATGGAGCATTGCCATTATGCATGATGTAGTGATTATGCTTAGAGGCAAGTATGTTTTATGGAGAGTTCTCTCTTCTGGGATATAATGCTGGGTAGTCTGTTGATGGACTTAAATTTGAGAAAGAAACTAGTGAAATGCTACATTTGGAGCATGGCTTTTTATGGGGCTGAAACTTGGACACTTAGGGCAGTAGATCAGAAACACCTGGAAAGCTTCGAAATGTGGTGTTGGAGAAGGATGGAGAAGATCAGTTGGACCGATTATGTGAGAAATGAAGAAGTGTTATTTAGAGTCAGTGAGCAGAGGAATATCGTACACAAAATAAGTAAACAGAAGGCTAATTGGATTGGTCATATCTTACACAGTAACTGCCTTCTAAAAGAAGTTATTGAAGGAGAGATAGAGGGGCAAATAGAAGTGACCAGAAGACGAGGAAGAAGGCGTAAGAAGATGCTGGATGACCTTGGGGACAGAAGAGGATATTCTCATTTGAAGGAGAAAGCTCAAGATCACATTAAGTGGAGGAACTGTTTTGGAAGAGACTGTAGGCCTGTCATCTGACAGATTACTGATGAATGAATGAGTCTGTTGAGAGCCAGCCAACAGTTTGGAGGAACATATCACCTCCATCTTCAGAGTCAAAGAATAAGCAAAGCAAGAAACTACCATGAAGAAGGTAAGCAGGCTTGCTGCGTTCTTCATGCTTGTTCCTCGAGAACCTTAGTTGACTTTCAACGTACTACACAGAATTATATCCCAGAAGATAAAATCTTCATAATCATCACTTTGAGAACCTCAAATCTTACAACTTTGCTTTATATTTTTGTGAAAATTTAAAGAAATGCAGTCAATTTTATCTCATTACAATGTTGTTTTCATTTTGACTGGGGCCATTGTGATTCAGGAAATGGTGAGTGCAAGTTATCATTGTGCTTGGACTCACTGTCCGTAGTCTACAGTAGGTTCTTTGCCTTAGGGGAGTATGAAACTCGCCATTTACTTCATGTAGTGCCAAGCTTGGGAATGCATGGAGATTTGTTTCCTTTGCTTCATGTAACTTCTTGTCTTGGAACCTAAGGATGGAGATGAATTTATGTTTACCTTTAACTTTTGCAAAAGGGTGGGGGGAACTCCATATATTTAGTCCGCAAGCGAACTATAGTGACTGAGTGACCACCATTTGTTGGCGAAGTTTAACTTTTGCTTAGAATGAAATTTCAGTTCTTGAAAATGACAACATAGAACTGTTCTTGAAACCTTACTGAGGTTCGGTGACATATTTTGAGGTAGCATTGCTAATTCTTGAGGATGATCTCTGGTTGCTGTCAGTCATTGTGACTGACTGTGGAAATATGTGCCTGGAGTTTAATGTGCATTAAGGGCATTGTGATTCATCCATTCCCTGTCACATCCAGAATGGCCCCTAGAACTTACCACCCAAAATTTTGTACAAAATATACTATGAAGCCTTTCCATGGTGGTCATACAACTGGAGAGTAAATCTGATTCCCCTCATCTTTAGCCCAGGTTTATATATTTTCACATTGTGGTACACAGGAAGGGAAAATTACTGTCTTGAGTATTTCATCAAGAAAATAATAATAATCATTATAGTGTGACTGTATGTATGATCACTGAGCCAAGTGCATCTGGCCCTTCCTTCTGGGCTGCTGGGCAGTTTGCAGAAAGTTCTGAGACAGGCAGATTGTGGTATGATATGTAATTATTTTAATCTGCATCAACAGGAACAAGTAGTGTGGAGATTGTATACAGCAACAAGCAACAGACTGAGCAGCGAGTTAAACTTTGTTCTGGGCCTGAGCCACATCGCAAACTTGCCAATGCTTGGATTGATGCTATCCAGCAAGTATGTTTTAATTAACATGGGAAACTGTAAGCATGTTTGGTGAAGCTTTTCAGTGAGAAGCTGACCACACAATTTTCCTGTCACATGATCTAACTCCATGCTGCAGGCCCCTTCTTGAGAAGCTAGTAGTCTCTCAGCTAGGCAAGAAATTTCTCACCTTTTATGTGACTTCAAGATTTATTGACATATTCATAAGAGCCTCCATCTGATCCATATCTAGTACATAGCCTCAACCTATTTGTTTAAGACACACTTTAATATTGTCACGTGTTGGGTGTATAACACGACAAATAACTTCACGCCTTACTGGATATAGCGAATTTTATTTCACATTCACTCTTACACTCACACAATTTACAAGCTCGACATTACTGCCATTGGCAGTATCACAAATTCTGTACTGCAATTAACTCGTGACTGACTCGTAACTAGATAACTCGTAACTTGAGAACTAACTGTGAATAGTCTTCGCTGCTCCTTATTTAGCCTCGTTCCAGACAACACAGAAAACAGCCACGTAATAGGCACCACTGTTGTCTGGCGCCATGTTGCTAGCAACGCTGTCGGGAGTTGTTTACTGCTGCCTAGCAACCGCGGCATCCCTTGGCCACATCACCGCTGGCGGGGAAAGGGAGGGAGTGTTGACTTGCCTATTCCCCTAGTAACGACCGCTCCGATGGTGTTACGTCACCGCTGGCGGGGGGAGGGGTGTGCTGCATAGCGCAACAATATCTTCCCACCCATTCCATGTGGTTCTTTCCTTAAGGCTTTCAGATGTCCCAGGCATGCTACATGTCCTGTCTGTTTCCTCCTTCTTGACTTGGTCAATGGAATATTTAATGAAGAGTACAAATTATGAAACTTTCTTCATTTAGAATGAAAGACAAAGTTTCATACTCATACAGAACAGTAGGATAAATTAATAGTTTTAATCTAATCTTAAAGTTTTTAGGTTTTTTTTATTGCTAGTGGGGTGGGACTAAGTCCCTTATACTACGGCCGCTTCTGGCCTATTGTACCAGCCCCAGATGATAGGTGAGGATGATTGTGGAGTAATTGGTGGAATGAAGATTGGCAGGGGAAACCGAAGTACTTGGAGAAAACCTACCCCAGCGCCACTTTATCCACCACAAATCCCACTTGACCAGACCCGGGATCGAACCCAGGCTGCCGTGGTGGGAAGCCAGCAACTAACTGCCTGAGCTATGGTGCCGCCTAAGTTTTTAGGTAGAAAACAGAAGGCAAAATATTCTGAACTGAGAGAAATTCCTGAATTTAACCTGCTCTTAATTTCTCTGTGAATGTCATTTTTATTTATTATTGTAATTCCCAAGTATTTGAACTTTGCCAGATTTTTAAAGGATTTATTAGATATCCATATATCCTAATTTTGTCTGATGTTCTGCTACTGAGACTTGAACACGTATTTGAATTTTGATTAATGTTTGTTCATAGCTTGGGTCTGCATGTACTAATAGATGACATTTGATGTCTAGCATATTCTTGTTTGTCATTTATTTCTTCTGGTGTTCATTCTGTCCATTGTACTTAGTAAGTTTGCATAGCAGAACCATTCTTGACTTGAATCTTGATGAAGGAGACAGTTATCCTGATTTGTTTTCAGCACCATCAAATAACTGAATTATCAGCCCTGTCATTCTTCATTACCACCAGAGTAATCAAATTGTTTGCACATCCAAATTCAAATTTATTATGTTCATAAAATATATCTAATTTTTGTTACAGGCATTCAAATTTCTGTGTGAGCATCGCCCAGGTAATAGTGACTGAGTGGCATGGAATCAGAAACGCTTGATACAAAGTATTACTACATTTCCATGAACTGTTTTATATATTTTTTCACATTTAATTGTGACAGATAATATATTTTCTGTTTTTACATTTGTTGATTTATGTGGGGACTATTTGCATGTTACATATACAGTTATTTGTTAACATTACGTTTATAGTACAAATAGAAGTCCACTGATGTTGCTTAACATCTTTAAATATCTAAATAGCAATATATTGCTAGATCAACAGCAATCACCTTTATTGGAATTCCAGTTGCTGTGTTTCTAAGATGACTGTCTAGAATCTGATGATAAGCTGCATCAGTGCCTGTGTAATTCTAGTATGTGGTGTAATCAGTTAGTTTCAAGATTGGTTGCAAGATCACATTTATGACAAAACTCCTGTACTGGATGGAGATAGAATAGAATCTGCTGAGTTATCACTGTTCATTTCAAAGTTGTAGCTTATGTCATTGAGAAATAACACCTTGTGACGTGAGGTTATGTGTCGTGTCCTTTATGATATGTGTTATCTCAGACATTTAACAGATTTCAAAGAACTGTGCGTATCCGTCACGTTTTGTTTCTTATTAGACAGAGGTGCTATAGAAATGTACAAGGTATTAAAACTTGCTTTTGGATGGGAAAGAATGAGGAAAACTCAATATTTGATTGATTTTCATATGTCAGAAGTGGAATGACATCAGTTAACTTTGCTGAGCATTTCAGACATCCATCCATGAGCAAAATGGATGAAAATATAGTGCAAATTTAGGAAAATGGGTGAATCTCTCTCCAAATCTCTGCTAATGAGACAGAAATCTCATTAGGTTTTGTGAAAGCCTTTTTCTATAAGATCTGAACTTGTAATGGGTTGCAGCAAAATTCATGCCTCATCTGCTGAGCATAACATACACGTTATTGTGTGTCAGAACCTTCATGAAAAGTTCAGAGACACCCCGCATTTCCTTTTGAAGATAATCGCAAGTAGAGAACTCAAGTTGGCATAGAAGGGGAGCAGATTTGATAACATCATTGTGATTCAAGAACAGTCACAGTGTGTGCTTGCATAGAGCAAACACAGATCATCTGAAAATGCTTCTAATGATGGCACAATTGCTGAACTCACTGCATCAGTTTGTAAGGGAACTGCTTCAAAGAGGACAGCATGAAACAAAGGGTAAATCGAGGTATCACAAAGAAAAAAATGCAGTCCTGAAATTATTTGATTACATCATTGATGTTCCAAAGCCTTGTACAGTTTCACTTTTTTAAATACGCTGTACAGTTATGTTTTCTTTTTGAAAATATTTTATCTGGAAAGTTCTTGGTGCTAAAATATATGCTTATATGATAGGAGTGAAAGTAATCTGTTTTAGATATTGACCTATTTTGCTGCCATTTTTAAAGGAATTGAATAGGATTGGCTTTGATTGCTGTTGAGTTTAGTTGCTGTTTTCATTATT